AAGAAAGCATTTGCTGGTGATTTACCACTTGATCTGCTGATGGAGTCAGCACCTGCAGCACCAACAGCACCATCAGTACCTGAGGCATCAAAGGCAGTAGTTGGCTAGTCTGAGGAGCCAGACATTGCTACCCACACGGTTGAGGAAATGCTTCAGATGTTTACCAACCTCGTTATTCCCCGACTGGAGGATGATGAGATCTAGTTGGAGGATACTAAGGGTGCTGATGATGCCATTCACATTGAGGCCACATAGGGAGTTCTCTTCACTCTCTACCCTTCCTTATTCTAATTTTTGTTAAGCATTGAGGACAATGCTTATTCTTATTCAGGGGGTGGTCTATTTTGATTAGTTTGATATGAAATTGGTTTATAATAACTTTAATACTCTTTTTCTTTTATCTTGATTCCCTCTTTCATTATGTATATATTCCTCCCTCTCTTTTGATGTATATATTCTATTCCTCTCGGGTTGTATATTCATTTGTCTTACTTTTAGTAGTTTATTTCATAGCTTCTTTAGTATGTTTTTCTTAGTAATATAACTTCTTATTTAGTTTAATAGCTTCTTTTTGATTTAGTAGCTTCTTTTTATGTTTAAGCAAGCAATAAGCCTTTGGTTTTCTTAATGCCACAATTCTTTCCAAAGGTAGGTTTTGTGTGAATCGGGTGGCTCTTCCCAACGATGGATGGCATGAAAACCTTCTTAAGGGATTGAGTCTATTTTTTATGTTTAGGTAAAAACAGTAGTATTAATGAATAAAAAGGGTCAAGTATGCTCCACTTGGTACCAACACATTTAACTACGACCTTATGGGTTAAAACAGACTCGTGTGTTGACTTGAGCAATCATCGAGTAGTTTAGTTGAACCATTATTGATTTTCAATCTTGAATATAGTTATTGTGGGCCCTCGACTCTATCTTCTTTAACAATCCAATTGTGTGAGAAGTGAGATTTTTGTTACAAGTCCAAGTACCCCTGCTAATAGTCTAGAACTTACCCGAATATTTTTCTAAGTGAAATTCTAAGTTTGGCTTGGCTTCAGACATGATTGTAGGCTCTCCTTGATCCAATTTGAAATTTTTCATAGCCCACCAATGTGACATCCCTAGTCAACCCATTTGATCCTAAGACCTTTTTCATTTGATAACCATGTTACAAGCCTTTATCCATTTTGTAGTGACCCTCTCTTGGCACCCGAGCTTTCCTTAACATTCTTGAGAAACAATTGGCTAAAACATAAGTTTGGGGGAGAGGTGAGGAGCTTGAAAGTGTTATAAAGGCACAAAAAGAGAAGAAAATTAAGAAAAGGAAAGGCAAAGAAAAAGAAAGAATGAACAAAAGAAAAATGCAAAAAGAAAGTGAATAAAATGAAGAGTTGAAGGGATTCAAAGAAAAGCAATGATTCAAAGCATAGAGAAAACAAAGAAGGAGAAAATGAACATCATGAACAAGAAAGAGTGACATTAAGTCTCTCTAGTTCCCCCGAGGAAAAAGAAAATGACTCAAAGAGTCGACAAAGCATGAGCCAAAAAAGAGAAAAATAGAGTGCTTAAGGAAAGATGAACCCGTTTCTATTCCAACATTTCATACCCTTGTCCAATAAGACTTCATTACATTCCGAAAAAGCCCTACGTGATTTCAAGCCCATTGATCTTACGTTACTGGTGATTTACATGAGGGGCAAGCATATGGTACTTAGAGCCGTACTTGTGACATTCTTTTGAGAGAGATGATCGAACTTTTCACAAATCCTTGAATTAAGTGTTACATTCTTAAGTGAGATATGTTAACGAAGAGTAGAGGAGCAGGAGTTTGGGATCCACAGTAACCTACATGAGAGAGCAAGCTTCCTTGATGAATAAAGTAAACTCTTGATGCTCTAGTGTCACATTAGAACTATTGTACTTAAAAAGTCAAATCATTGCTTTGTTAATAATTCATAAGTGTTGTGGGTAATTGTGGGTCCCAATTGATGTGTGTTTGATTCACCTTAGGTTGGCTGAAATAGCTCTTTTCTTGTGGAGGTGAGAATTACCTTATTTGCTTGAGGACAAACAAAAGCTTAAGTTTGGGGGAGTTGATAAGTAGGGATTTTGACTACTTATTTATACTCTTTTACTTTCGTTTTAGCTCAAAATTACTTAAAGATATTCCCGAAAACTGACGAAATGTGCTTCCTTGCAGGAGTGTTGGAATATGAGTCAAAGAGATGAAAATCAACTCAAGAAGGAGTAATTTTGGACAAGGACTAAAACAAAGCAAAAAGAGCAAAGTGCAGACCGCACAGTATTGAGTACGGCCGCAGATCATGAAGAACCTCTGACAGATTTTCTTTGCAAAGTACGGACCACAGAATTATTGTGCGGCCGCAGAAGATGAGGTTCAAAAATATGTGTTTGGATCCATGAAGAAGTGTGGACCGCACTATCATTGTGCGGCCGCAGAATTCAAAAGTGTGGTCGCACTAAGAAATGTACGGCCCGCGAAATCTGAAGAAGTGCGACCGTAACTCAGAATTGTGCGGCCGCAGAAGTCCATCCTGTCAAGCCAGCTTCAAAGTGCGGACCGCATACAGAATTGTGCGGCCGCAGAACCTCCGTAGGGGCAATTTTGTCCGATAATTTTAGCTGTGTATAAATAGTTTTTTTTGTCAAAATTAGGTCAAGTTTTAACACCAGAAAATAGATAGTCGTTTTTCCTTTACTGTTTTGGGTAACTTTGTAATAGTTTATCATTTTAACGTTGGATTTTCTTCTTTTTATCATTTATTATGAGTTTAATCTTATTTTCTTCTTTAGTTTCTTCTATTTTCTCTATGAGTAGCTAATTTCTTAGCTAGGGTTGTGACTCAACCCTAGTGTGGGTACCTAATGGGTGTTTAATTAAGGGCTTATTTGTGATTGGGTGAGTGATATTTAGCCTAGCTCTTGCTTGAATTTAAAAATTAATGGTTACAAACATTGATTCATGCCTAATTGAATTAGTCTCTACTTGAAAAAGAGAGTCTAAGTTTAGGAAAACTTGGCTAACAAGGAATTGGGGTGAACTCAAAAAACTGATAGCCCCAATTAAAGAGTTGAATCTAGAGATAGTAAAATCCGACTTGAGCATCTATCACTTATTTTGTGAATTACCCATTTGGACTTGAGAAAGCCAAATTGGGCAAAATCACTCCAACTACCGAGAGGTATCGAGTGGGTAATTGTATGTGATTGCTATATTACATCCCGACCAATCAAACTTGCCCTAAAGCCCACAATCCATTAGGTAACCACCTAGGTGGAAGTCACGACCCTAGATCTTTTATAAACTTGAAAAACAACACCAAAAATATCGTTCTCTAGCATTTCATTTACAAACCTTAGCATAAAAATTAGAAGTAGAAAGAATCAACCAAACATGTGAAAGAGCATTTTGGGCATCATATACTTAGTCTAGATACATACCTAATCCAATATAAGCTCTCTATAGAATCGACCCCGACTCACGTTGGGTAATTATAATTGCATCGACCGCTTCACAATCCCAATTAGTGGTATAAATTTGGGCGATATCAGGTACTGTCTGTCGGGGACCGGTGTGGCCTCGTTTCCCTCGCTGCGGGTATCACTGATTGAATCTTCATGCTGAGGCTGATTTCCTTGGGCCTCAAGGTTGTGTGTGTTGTTAATACCATTATCTACCATTTTCTATGATTTTTTGCTAAGAACAAATAATCAAAACACATTATTAAAAGAGACAAGGACCAATTTAATTACATAATTGTCTAAGCCCCACGGTGGGCGCCAAACTATTAACGCGTAAAACGGTACAATTGAATTTATACTTGATTTATAGACAAGTGAATTAATTTGATCATGAAATAATAGATGAATTAGATGAAAATATAATACTTAGCCTTGAGATAACGATAAAATAGCAGAATATTCCTTGTAATGGGCAGTGTACTTAATGTTGTAGAATATTCATTATTAAATGTTACAAGGTGACATGCATTTACTTTATCTTTATGAATATCGTTCTCTTTGGTAACAGATGGGATTGTTGTCTCCCATTTTAACTATCTTTTGTCTTTGGCTCCATATGTTATTTCCTCATGCGATCATCTAATATAAACATATTTTCCCCTATACAGTTAGTATATAATTGTCCTTTTCTTTGTCAAGCTTTCTTCTTCTTTTATGGTCATATCAATTAATGGCCATAGTTGTATCGATTTCCAATTTGAAAAATGTGAAAAAAATTCCAATTTTGGGATAGTCAATTTTTCAGGTTCAAATTGTTTAACTAATACTCCATCCTTTTTAATTTATGTGAATTTATTTATTTTTTAGTCCGTATCAAAAATAATAATTTTTTTTCTATATTTGAAAACAATTTACCTTTACGCAATGATTTATAGTCACACAAATTTAAAAATCTTCTCGAAATAGAGTAACAAGCCAAAAAGGGGTCCACTAACATCCTCCATAAACTGTATTTAATCATCTTTGAGGATCATTAATTGGACGTTTAATGGGATTCATGGAATTATATATGACAAACGTCCTTCTCCATTTATGTGTTCTATTTCTATTGTTCCGAAGAAATAGTTACACAGTTATGCGTAAGCTTCATTATCGTAATTAATCACCATATTCCACACACACCAAAAAAAAAACAATAAATATAAAACGTATCAAATGCACCTACACTTAGAATGTTACATTTGTGTGTGTATATATATATAGGTTCAATATTCCTTTTATGCAGAGGACTACTAATTGGCATGTACTTTTGGAAATTTCATTAAAAAATTAAACGTGATACATGTCTGTCAAAAGAAAGAAGAATGAACATTCACTAACATAGTGAAAGATAGAAAGAATCCATATTTAATGATACAAATTAAAGAGTCTAGACATTGTATGTAATTAATTCATTATCGTTATAAGAAGCCAAGTAGTGTATCAGAAATTAGTCAGCAAGTTTCTAGACTTGGTAACACTGATCAAAATAGAGTTTTGTACGCTCACTATATAAACTTGACGAGAATGGAGTTTCTTCCAAAATCCTAAGGCCAAAAATCATGAAATTAGTAAGAATAATAGTGTTAAGTGGGATATTATACTTGAGATTGGTTTTTGGAGAAATTAATAAAGAAGAAGCGTGTGGATTTCCAGCCATATATAACTTTGGTGATTCGAATTCGGACACAGGTGGAAAATCAGCAGCTTTTCATGAGGTGCAGCCACCCAATGGTGAGACTTTCTTTCGCAAACCTTTTGGAAGGGTATGCGACGGTCGTCTTATCGTTGACCTCATAGGTAAAAAATGTCAGTATATATATATATTAAGCTTAAATTTGTGATTGTTTTTTTTTCTTCCTTTACAGCGGACAGGTTGGATTTACCGTACTTGAGTGCGTATTTAGATTCAATTGGTGCAGATTTTAGAAATGGTGCTAATTTTGCAACAGTTGGTTCATCTATCCTACCTGGTGGTTACAGTCCTTTTTACCTTGGTGTTCAGATTTCTCAGTTTTTACAATTCAAGAAACGTACTATTTTGCTCAGTAATTTAACAAGTGAGTTATCCTTGCCTTAATTTTCTTTATTTTTTTTTACATATAAATGTACTTAGAATTAGGGGTGTACATAGGTCGGGTTGGTTCGGATTTTACAATTACCAAACCAAACCAATTGTGTCGGGTTATTAAATCTAAAGACCAAACCAAACCAATAAAACTCGGGTTTTTCATTCTCGATTTTTCTCGGGTTTTCTCGGATTTTGGGGTTGTTCGGGTTTTTTCCCGGTAAAATCTTCGAAGAACAAAACATATAAATTGTGCTCAAAATATTTTTTAGTTCTAGTAAGATACAACTATATAAAGTATTTTCCAAGAAAATAATACAAAATATGAGATATGTCATGGCATTATCCTAAAATATTCAACAATAAAGATAATAAAATAATGTAATATAAATATTGCTAATTACAAAGCCATAATAAAAATAAATATAATCTAAAAATACTAAGTCATGCTAAAATAAATAGAATAATAAGGAAGTATGAATTACATGACTAAACGCTAAAGAAAAAATAAAAATAGGTTATGCATTCTTATCTAAATTATTGCAAAACAAAAAATAGATATTCAATACATTCTCGTTCGTAGTATTGAATTGAATGTCTTTTGTTAGCACTAGTATTGATTTGATTTTGGTTTGGGCTTTTGTTAGCACTATTTAATTTACTAATGTTAATTGTTAATCGCTATAAAACTTATTGGAACATTCAAAAGTTGTAAGTCCAACCTTCAAATAATACCTAAAAAAATAAAATTATGAAATCTTTTAAGAATATATTTATAAATTACATCACAATAAGTATATTTATATATTAAATATATCTAAAATTTCTATATATGTAATGTCGGGTTGGTTTGGTTTCGGTTTGACTTTCTTTAGTTAAAACCAAACCAAACCAATTATGGTCGGGTTTTTTTTTCCAACACCAAACCATAGTCGGGTTTTTTTTCTCGGTTTGACTCGGATTATCGGATTGGTGCGGTTTATCGGTTTCCTTTGTACACCCCTGCTTAGAATGACTCTTCTAATAAGGTTTAATGGCTATTGATTATATTCATGCAGTTACAAACTCGAAGCGGTTTTCGTCAAAAGTGAATATTCCAAAGCCAGATGATTTTTCAAAGGCAATTTACACATTTGACATTGGACAGAACGACCTTTCCTATGGTTTTCAACATACACACGAAGCACAAGTCCGAGCATCTATTCCACAAATCCTAGACAACTTTACTCATGCCATACATGTACGGTCTTTTTTTTCTATTGGATTTTTCTTTCAATCTCTTCAATACAGCATCTGAAAAATTGTTGGATCCCCCCTAAATTTGCAGGAAGTAAACAAAGTCTTTTTTTCCAAAATCCACTCCTAAAATTACGTAACGTCTCCTGACGATTCTGTTGTTCAATGAATTTAACTTGACCTAATTTTCACATGGAACATAATTATATGTGGAAAACTAATAAAAAATTTAGTGACAAAGTATATTAAATTATAACACATAATTTCAAAAGTGCAATGAAATCTATAATAGAAGAGGAACCTTGGCGTAACTGGTAAAGTTGCCCAGGAGGTGACGAGTTCGAGCCGTGGAAATATCCTCTTGCAGAAATGTAGGGTAAGGCTGCGTACAATAGACCCTTGTGCTCCGACCCTTCCCCGGACCCCATGCATAGCAGGAGCTTAGTGCACTAGACTGCATGTTTTAATGGACTGTATAATAAGAAATTAACAATTTGAACCCATCAAATTTAAATTCTGGATCCATCAATGTTTAGGAGATATACGCTTTTGTTTTTTTGTTTTTTTTTTTATTGTTGGTTTTTCTTCTTCCTGTTAATACTTGTATACATACATAATTTGTGCAGCAACTTTACACTGAAGGGGCTCGGAATTTCTGGATCCATAATACTGGACCTATTGGATGTTTGCCTTATAGTGTGATATCTTACCCATTGAAGCCTCAGGGCTTGGATGCCACTGGATGCATAGAGAGCCAAAATGAGGTGGCTCGAGAATTCAACAAGCAGCTCAAGGACAAGATATCACACTTAAGAAAGGAGCTCACTTATTCTGCAATTACTTATGTTGACATTTATTCAGCTAAGTATAAACTAATTAGCACTGCCAAGAAACAAGGTACTATAATATTTTTATCTTTAGTTACTTTATAAATGAGCTGATTGTGTAAAGGACAGCCCGGTGCACTAAGCTCCCACTATGAGCGGGATCCGGGGAAGGGCCGAACCACAAGGGTCTATTGTATGTAGCCTTACCCTGCATTTCTGCAAGAGACTGTTTCCACGGCTCGAACCTGTGACCTCCTAGTCACATGGCAGCAACTTTACCAGTTACGCCAAGGCTCCCCTTCAAATGAGTTGATTGAGTAGTAATATTTTTTACACTGTCAGTGCATAGAACTTAAACTCCTAAAACGTATCGCTAGTAGTTTAAGTATATATTTTTTATGGACAAGCAGGTTTTGGGGATCCAATGAAATTCTGCTGTGGTTGGTACAACAATGGATATGAAGTTGCATGTGGGCAGACAACAGTAGTGAATAGAACAGAGTATGGGAAGGCATGTAGTGATCCTACAAAGTACATTAGTTGGGATGGAATACATTACACAGATGCTGCCAATGTCTGGTTAGCCAACTCCATTCTCAATGGCTCTTTCTCAGACCCTCCAGTTCCCGTTGAACAATCTTGCACTCACTTATCAACAAGAGTTTAACCAGATAGTTCTTTGGTCAGGCCAATCATCCTACAGTTTCCAAGAATATTACTGCCATATATATAGCTGCATATGTTGTATTTGTCTACTACCACTGAGAAGCCATTTAGGAACTTCTCAATCTTATTTTATGTGTATGTATGGTCACCTTAATCTTTGATAAAAGTGTTTTTTTTCCTTCAAAAAATGTATTATCTGCTACTCCATTGTCTCGTTTTGTCGTCTTTCGTCAGTACTACAACAACTATTACGCCTTAATCCCAAGCTAGTCGTCTTTCGTCAGTACTACAACAACTATTACGCCTTAATCCCAAGCTAGTCTTCGTCAGTACTACAACAACTATTACGCCTTAATCCCAAGCTAGTCGCAACTGTTATAAGAGGTAAGGAAATTAAACAGACTAAACAAGTCAAACACATAATTGCTATACTAGTTTAACCAACCAAAGCATTCCATATGTTGGGAAACTTTGGGATAACAAGTAAACCATAAAACTAGTAGATTATACTAAAAGAAACTTGTTAACAAAAGCTGATTTTCAAAATGCCAACAAGTCCACAGCTTTCTACTTCAATTGATTCCATAAGGATGCATAATGTTATAATGAACTATAAGGTTAATTTCAAAAACAGGTTTATGTCTGATGTCACTCATTCAAGGTAAGGAAAAAAGACATATTCCCTTTTCTCCAGAACACCACATCAGTGTATACCCAAAATGTTAAGCTATTTATAATTTATGAGAAAAAGTTTCCAGGCAAAGAAAAAAGGAAATCTTGAACATCGTGTAACTCCCTGTCTGCACAATATATATACTAACTACTCTACCTCGACCAACTTTAGAATCTATATACATCCTAAAACTTCTCAGCTCTTTTAACCACTTGGCGGTTGAAGGGGCTACTGGAGCATGCTTCTCATATGAAAGGTGAGTTGCTAGTATTATGCATTATGCAATCAAAGTAAGTCATCTTCTTGTTTTGGTTTCTATTGTAGGTGACACTTGTGATCCACCACCAAGAGCTGCAGCAGCAGATTCCACGTGAGTGAGAAGATATTCGTAGATCTTTTTTCTTATCCTATCGATGGTCTCAGAATCGATTTCGGGACTTTCATCATCCTTGTTAGATCCAATCTCATCCAACCAGTCATTCACACTCTTCAGCTGGGATAACATGCCGGCTATTTGACCATTATCTGATAAAGCAGAGGCATCCACATCAGCATCCAAGAACCTTTCGACAAATCCTAAGAACCAGTCTTGGGACGCCATTCGTAACATCTCGGCCAAGTCCACAGTCTCTTCAAGACCGTCTCCTCTGACCCAATCCGCCGGAGGTGGAGATTTTGGCTTCTGATTAGCAGCTACTCCATCCGTTAAGCGCCGTTGAGAACCTGATGACTGAATCTTAGAACTGACTGTTGGGCGGGGTTTGGCTTGGTTTTTTGCAGGTGCATTTTTGGTTGAGTTGTCAAGGACTAGCATAGGTAGATTTCCAGCCATAGTCTTTGGGCTTGGCGAGGCAGCTGAAGTGGCACTTGGACTTGAAGTTGCTTTTTTGGTATACACCGAGAAGGATGACAGATTGGTAGCTAATGCAGCATTGACCCATAGAGCTGCATGTTTACGTTTTTGTGACACAACCTTAAGTTCTTCTTCGGATGGGTTTTCTTCATGATCTGATGCTGAATCAGCTGACATGGTCTTGGATAAAGACTTGCCAACAAGACGAACATTCTTCAAACTTGCGTGCAGCGCCAAGAATTGCTCAACAGCAGACTGCGGGTTATCTTCCTTTGCTGAGGAGCTCAACTCAGAATAGGTGCTGAACAATCAAATAAAGAAATCGGAAGTTGTTTTTGGGTTGCATGATAAAAGGATAAATTCAGTTGACACTGATGAATTAACAAACTATAAAGGTACCACAATTTGAAAGTCCAAATAAACTCTTACAGAACCATGATCCACTATTTGCGTAGAATGGCAGAGTAATCCTTATTAACCCAGTGCGATTTGATTTCATTTGGTAACCAGTCTACATTAGAAGAATAATTAAAATTTGCACCAGAACAATTCCTTCCTCTAACATGTCCCCACACACCCAGCTGAAACCTATCCCTACTATCACTTCGGTTGATAGTAGGGGGCATTCCTTCCATTTTGTTAAAGAGTCACTAACTTAAAAATGTGTTATGGTCTGTGATTTTATAGGTGGAAACTGGGGGAGGCCCGACAGCATTTTCTGTCCCTTCCTTTTCCTCTTTCAGTAATTCCGGTTGTGAAAGAAAACCTTCTCAACATGGTTATCGTAAAAATCCAAGATGACTTGGTCAAGAAGCCCAAGAGGAGCACATGAATATTAAATGATGGTGGATTCCTTCTAATTTTGGAAAACAGACATCTTACCCCAATGATAAAAAAGTTCAAGGGCATGCAGATTAAATTATATTTACCCCGTAGTACTTCTTCAAAATCTATTCATGTCAGATTCAGCACCCTGACTGAGCAACTATATTTCCTAGCAAGAAACAGGAAATTTATAGATAACTCCAGTTATACAGGACCAACAAGTAAAAGGAAAAGTGAAGTCACAAAGATCACACCAGAAAATGTTACTGAAAATTAAAGGCAAGAGATCACTTAGCGCTCTCTTTTCTAATTCAATAAGAAAAGAACGTTGCTATTCATACAATTTAGTAAACAATTTGGCTTCATCATATGGGACAACAAATCCACCGAAACAAATTACATAGGGCTGTCACGTGAAGGAAGATAACATACTAACTAAAAGAAGAAGCAGTCACCCTTCTGTATGAAAGTTATTGATCAGAAACAAATTCCTTATTTCAACCAGAAATCTATACATATCCAGCGTCCTACCCCCACCCCATTTCACCATTACCGAGGAGCAAAAGGAGATTCGCTTTTGGCAATTGCACCCAAATAAAAGGAAATTTGTCTATATGGGATTGTGCGTGCGTTCAAGTGAGATGAAGCGAGGTAAAACCGTAAGCGTGGAAGTGTTAAGAATCATACTACCCCATGAGGTACATATCCAATTTATTTCAACAGACTCTGAATACATATGCAGAGAATAGAATAGTTCATGTTTCCTCCCAGGAAGTCATCCTTAACACTTTCAAAGGAAGCATTAACTGTTCAATATGACCAAACCAGATCTCACAGATGAGCTATTAGTAAAGTGTGCTGTTATCCTCAAAATTTACCACATCCAGAGGCATCATGAGCCAGTCTAGCTTTTGACACCCTTTTAAGGCAATAACATTTATTTATTCTTAAACAAGAATAAGGTGCAGTGAAGGATTAGATAAAGATTGCAGACAGCTCAACCTTCCAGTAATATTAGACAAGAACAAAAAAAGAAATGGGCAGTGGACTAAAGCTGTTACTCTTACCAATTCCTTTTTCTAGTTTACCACCCATAAACACTATTTAGCAACTAAAAACAGCATCACCATAATAAGATGACAAGATTTTAATGCACATTCTCCCGCCCAACTGAACTCCTGGAGCAAAATAAGCGGTCAAAATTGCTTGTCCATACCATAAGGCAGTGTTAGGCTGAAGATTCTTTCAGTTAATCACTGTATAGTAGTTCCAACAGTGTGATGCATTAAATGAGGAATACAGCTGTATTTTTCACCCACACTAAGCTCGCCCAAAGAAAAAATGAAAGAGTTTGAAGTGGTACACTCCAAATTTTTGGTAATTGATTACACAGAATGTAGCCATAGAACCTGAATCTTTCTCAATTGGCTCCAACTTAACAAGATGTTACTAGATATACAGCCTAAGTGCCTAACTCTTTTGATTAGTTTTTGGTGCACCCACGAGTTCCCTTTTTCTGTAGATAACTGGGTGTCCTTTTTTTATCAGGTAAATAAATGGGCGTCTTTGTAGAGAACCCTATTTTCAGGATGTATACTTGTATATGGGGTTTTCTCCCCACAGCATCAACAAATATTACCTTACAACAACTATTAATACTATGCCTCAATCCCAAACAAGCTGGAGTAGCGTAACTCAATTGTCTGTAACTCGAAGCAAATAAACTGATTTTAGCTCTTAAAATTCACCTTTTACCATCCACACTCAAATAGAAGGAATAGCTATTAAATTCCTACTTAAATACCCAAAAAAAGCAAAAAAGAAGGAATACCTTAAACATCTAAGTAAGCTTTCAGTAGCCGAAGCCACCTGCATAGCCTCAATGGCTGCTATCTGTGCGGCATCCCTGTGCTTCATGACTTCCTATAAGACGAGATGGTATCTTTCAGAGATCAAATAAATAGTACAATCCGCTAATGCAAATAAGAATCCAATAAGAAAAGAGTTTATAAGCAAACACATCGGCCACACATGCCTATTCAAAATAGGAAAGATTAACTAATAAGATCATCAAGTTACTCGAAAAAGTGGGAAAATATCATATATAAAAATCATACCTTTCCAATCTTTGCCAGAGAAGATGGGAGTGAAGACCAGGCAACATTTCCATCTGCTAAAGTTCTATTACTGACAGCAACTTTGACCAAGTTTTCTCCTAAGCCATTATTGACCTCTCCAGGTAGCTTTCTTCCCATGGATGTTTTCTGCTTACTTGATTTCTCAGCATCAACAGGCTCTCCATTTGTGGAAATCTTCTTTAAGGATGTTTGAACCTTATTTTCCTCTTTGGATGATTTTGCGAGTATTCCCCTGTTATCTTCTTTATATGTCAGTTTCTCACTGATTGATTTTCTTGGAACCTGCACCATTCAAAGCATTTAAATAAAGACTAAAGGGAGAGTACCAAATTCTCTGTATCAAAGGCAACAAAGTCAAATAGTTAAATGGATGTATATTTTAATCAGTTTAACCCAATACCCAAACCATCAGAAACTTTTTATCCTTGCCTCGTCCATCCTTTCTCAGAGTACTAGAAAATCATAATGAGACGGGGAAAAAAATACTTACAGAAGTGCTCCTTGTTTCGGGTTTCAAATCATGCTTGTTGACCCTCAACCTTGGACTTTCTCTACTCTTCAAATCCATATTCCCTTCCCAGCTCTTCCTCAAGGCCTTAGGCTCCAAGTCGAACCCTTTAACAATATTCTTCAATGAATTCCCGCCCAGCACTCTCTTCGGTGTTGGACTCGCCCCACGAACAGAACTTGGCTTCTCCGGTCCAGGTTTAGCTGTTGCTTTCTCCAATC